AAAAAATACAGATTTCAGTATTCTGAGGCTCTGAGCCCCATTTATTTTCCTCAAGGACGGCAAAAAAAGTCTGACATTATACGATTTAAAATAAAAACAATAATCGTGGCTTGATATTGAGTAAGAACATGNCCGGTCTTCCAAGACCCGACCGGACAAAAAGACGTGGTGCAGGCACGAAAAATACTAGAAATACATTGCTTTTAAAATCGTTCTGTGTGACACGAAAAAAAGGGGAAAAGCGTGTTGGTGAACACGGATCAATAGATTAAATGTCGTGACTATAACACTTAATGCCGTGAGACTGGGTTGCCTGGTCATAATCAAAATGTTAGATAATCAGACAAATAGGAAAAATATCTGCTTTACAATTCATATGTCTCTGCTCACCTCGCTTTCGGACCAGGTACTTTATTTTATTTCGTTTTCAAACAAAAACAGTCAGTCCAGGCAGGTGATCAGCTGATTGCTATTGCGACGCAGCTTCGTCCACAGGAAATTCGATTAATCCTTTTATCTTTTGATTTCAATTACTTTCCGCTGTTCACAGAAACCTGTCTGATCAAGATTCAGGGCCTGGGATAAATGTAGTAATTATGACTTAATTAAACAATATGCTTAAATCTTCCTCATAAGAATTTGTAGCTTCCAGTACAGGTAAGAACACGTCATCATGCATTTTGTTATGCACATTATTACATTTTGTATGAAAGTAAAAGATGTAAACAAATGAATCTGCTATTTGTATTACGACTTTCTTTAGCATAAATGTAAAATACATTTTGGCTACTATAACTAAAGGCTTCCAGTCTCCTTACATGCTTTACGAGTTGTGTCAGCAATAGAATATGGTTATACTTCAGCAGTATTGAGACTCTATGCCTTTATTATGAAAATAATACATGGTATTATAAGAAGTTCCTATGGCTTTGTGTCCCTGGTGGTTTGTTTCAAAAGCATTGAAAGGATATCTTGTAAATCACATGCTTAAAACTTAAATCTCTGGCCTGTAAGCACTTTCCTGATTGTTCATCCGTCTCTAAAGTGTACTTGGCTTTAATGCTACAGTAGAATTCAGCTATTGTGGATCTTAGAAACTGTTAGCGCACAGTCCGTTTAAGGTATATGATGATCATATGGTAATTTTAGATGCATTGTGCCCTTGTCCCCATTGAAAGGGATTCACAGTCTTGTCCCATTTTATCCTGCCTAATCAGTGTGGGGCTGGCTCTGTGGGCAAAGGCCTGCCTGTGTGTCTGGTTGAATGAACAGGCGAGGGTCCATGGAGCATTGTGGTCCCACAATGCTTCACGGTGACCAAATAAGGTCTGTCTGCAACATGTATACTAGGAGGAGACAGGGGCACTAAGTTGGCACAGTCCAGTCTCTCACATTTTTTGGACTCTCTCAAAAGGTTGCCGTCCCTCATCACACATCTAGTATGTGATTGGACGGAACAGAAAGGGCTGACCCATGAACTGTACAGAGTTGTTTGTGAAAACAAGTCATGTACAAGGCTGGTCATCGTAAAGTGGTTCTAATAATAGAGGAGGATACTTTGTTGAGACTTTCACTTACTACACTACCACTGCTTAAAGGTCAATAAATTAATTCAGTGAATGATTTAAGCTGACTAGTCACTGGAATGTGTAGGAATCCTCCTATTACCATATGCTCTTTGCTTTTAATGAGAATATGTATACACTGTAGAAGAAACATAATTTAACATAAAGTTGATGTACACTACATGATGCTTTCGCTGCATATGATGTGTGTTTCTGCACTATACTGCAAAGCAGTGGCAAGACCGGAGCATAGGAGATACCAATATTGTTCAATACATTCTCTCTCACTGCTGCAGACGTTGGTTAAAGATTAACTCTGGTGTTATCCTTAGGGCCTCTTTGAAGTGGACTTACTCTAACCCCTGCTTATCTTAATTAGAAAGAAATCTGTAGGAGTGAAGCGGTCTTTTGAAAACGAGCACCTCCACTCCCCTGCTCCCTGAAGGCCACACTGCGGCTTTGCCTGGACTTTAATGCCTCCTCAACTAAATATTTGCTCTTGACATGGTGTGATTGTATGTAGTATAAACTGTGAACAGAAAAGGTTTATTTTTCCTGAGATTAGAAAGCGCTGCTGGAGGTATCTTCCTCGGATTTTGCCAGATATGAAACATTTATAATGAATAGATCCTCTTTGCAGTATGTTTGTTAGTAATGCAGAAGGCTAACAGGTGTTTAATGTGATTCATATTGAAAGGGAAAGCTGCTCCTTTGATGCTTAGCACGATTTGTAGGCCGTGCCGTGTAAATAACTATGCAAAACCATTTCATGCTTTTACTGAAATGAGAGGGTCCTTTGGATAAATCTGGCAATATATGGTACTTAAATGTCCCTGTGTTATAGCTGTTACAAAGTCTATGTGCCAACCATATAAATCTAGACAAATAGACAAGACCTTCTCAGTTTCCATTACCTCAGTGGAGGATTGTCTCCTCCACGACTCAGAGATCACACATGCAATGTTTACCGGTGGCATGCGTGCCATGCGGCTGGCTTTAATCCAAATGGAGCAGGGAGGTCCTGTCATACACAGGTCACCTGTCTCCACAAGAATGATGTGGAACACACAGGAAGCTAAAATCCTACACTGTGGTAAACCTCAAGAATGTATGAGTTGGAAAATGTATCACTTGAGACATTTTATTAAAAAAAACATATTTCTCTATAACCAGTTGATATTATACAATAGTAAATCACCCTTTTTCCTATGTGTTTCTTTCATCACACAGTGTTCAGCCGGTGTTTAGCCTAAAACATGTGTTTTCTTGGCAAACACCATTTTTAGTTTCACATTGAAACATTTCACATTGAAACCCACCTCTTCAACTCTGCTTATCCTTAAACCCGCCCCTCCCCCCTCTGAACCAACATCCTCCTGACTACTTTTCTGTTTTTGTTTTGTTTTTGTTTTTTGTTTTTGTTTTTGTTTGTGTTTTTGTTCTTGTTTTGTTTGTCGACCTTACTCGTAATGTAAAGCGTCTTTGGGTCTAGAAAAGCGCTATATAAATCCCATTTATTATTATTATAGTTTTTCTTATCGCTTGCTTGCCGTAATATGGATCAAGCTTGTTTGACTTTATAATATAAGGGATATTATATAATGTAATGCCACATTGACTTACCAAACAACTTTCCCTGCTGAGCTTAGTCATTTAATCAGTGCTTGTCCTTTATGATGTTCCTTCCCATGCTGTTTGTGGTGCAAATTATATTATTTTTAAAATGTAATTATAACTTTTGTAGGATTACCAGATGTACGGGTTGTGCACATGAACAGTGACTTGAGTGGAAAGCAGGCCGACTAAACAACATCAACTATAGAAACGTTTATTTTAGTTAGACCTCTCATCAATTTAATTATGGCTTTAGTAATTAATCAGGACCTTTGTAACATCGTCATAGTGGTGCCTCTGGAGCAAAGAAAAATGCTATTTTTTAGAGGGATAGAAAAATTCTATGTTTATAAGAATTTCATGATGTAATGCAACATTTAGTTAATTTTGCATAAAAGACAAATATAGCAGCTCCTTTCATTCCCGCTCAATCTTTACAGTTTCTGCAATTTTTCATTCCAATGACAGCACTTGCCACCACCAAGTCTAACAGAGACACACACAAGTTCAAAGGACATCAGTATCTCTATTCTTCTTCTTTCTAGCATTTTTGATAAAGCCCAAAAGTAACTAGAAATGCTGATGAAGAGTCATGTTTTTTAGAATCTCCCTACTTTCTTATTCTTCACAACTCTATTGAAGTGTTCTATCGGGTAGAAAGTACCTCCATGTATTCATTATGGATTCATTAATTAAGTTTGCTCAACTCAATGATTTGCTGGGTTTGGATAAGAAGGCATAAAAAGAGCCCACTTTTTCTCTCAGGTCACAGTGACACAAAAGGTTTGAGCACAATATTGTCAAAAAGCATCAGGCATTCAGACTCAGTTTTGAATAAATACTCTATGTATACCGTAGGAAAAAGCTGTTGCAGAGAGCATTTAAACACACTAACTGGTGAGTGCGTGCCCTCACACATAATAAAACATCCAGGGTGAATGTGTAAAGGTCTCAGCAGGACTATCGAGGGAGGAAATGGACACAGTGGAGCGGTCAGCTGGATGTAACAGATTTACTGACCCTAACGACAAGGGTGGGGTGGGTTAGAAACTCTCAGTCGTGCCCAACAAACACAACAGCAACACTGCACCCTTCTGTCAGTTTAACTATTATTCCAGCACTTTCACAAGTGCCAGATCCTTGGTGGATCAGTCATTTGTATCCCACCATCCTGATCTAGTAAAGCAGCAGCACTTACTGTGCAGTCTGGTGGATGCGTGCCAAGTCTTAAGAATATGTGTATAATTACTTAGAGGCAAGTGAGTGCAATTAAAATTCGATTCAAGTGTGTGTCGGTTTCCTTATGGGTCAGTGTGTGCACTATTTTTCTCTGTATTTCTGTACCTGTGTGTCTTTTTGATGTCGGGGTGTGTGGCTCTGCTTTGAGTCTTTATGGTAAAATAGTAGCAGCGATGCCCTCAAGAACTGTAGCCTCGCCCTTTGAATCCAACTTCAAAAAGCAAGGATAAAATGCCTCCGTTCAGACAAGAAACAGACGCTTTTTATCGTAATTAAAAAAGAAGCAATTAGACAACTTTATTCCTTTGGCATTGGGGCTGTGCACCACTCTCCCTGACTAATACCTTTGAGTCTCAAAGTCGAGTCCTGAAGGAAACCAAGAAAAAATTCTATTTAGGGCTGTTTGAAATTCCTGTGCAACCCCCTATAAGAAATAGCTATGTTTATTTTCAAATCATTTTTGGGATTATTAAGTGCTAGTGAGACTATTTTAGTCATCCCTTGTGTTTTCTCATGCCTGTATTTATTTATATGGATCCATTTCTAAGTTTCTTTAATACGATTAACTGTATTTGTTTGCAGGAGGCAACAAACTGAAGAACCAGCAGTACCGTCTGAACTGGGCTTGGATCTCTCTGGAGAAGGAGCACTATGTGGTGGATGAAGAGGTCAAGTTTCTGGAGGTGGTGCTGAAACGTCGGGGCTACCTCGGGGAGACTTCCTTCGTTAGTAAGTAGACACTGATTCTTCTGATGACACTTATACTAGGGCTGCTCGATTAATGCAAAAATCATAATCTCGATTATTTGGGTCAATAATTGATATCACGATTATTAAAAAACGATTATCCATTTACTTTGAAAACATCCATTTATTAAAAAAATTAATTGAACAGTATGTTTTAAACAGTTGATTACCCTGAACTTTAAGTATAATTCAACTGAAAAACCAATATAAATGTTTTATAAATAAATAATAATAATAAAAAAATGTTTTAAAACATACGATTAATTGAGCAGCCCTAACTTATACTAATAGATTCTCCATAGTAATTTCTAAATGCAATTGAAGATTATTTTAAAAATAATGTTGTTCTCTATCTTGATCTCAATCCGGTTATGCACCAAAAATTATGAATAAAACTAATAAATAAGTAAAACACCCAATATATTAACTACAATATCTATGACATACATTAAATATGTACTGCAGTAAAAAAGGAAGAAGTGAGAAAAATGTAGCATGAGATACATCTATAAGACTTTTTCCAAAATTGCACAAATCACACGTAAATAACATACAATATGTTTGTGCTTTAGTGACATACATCCTGGAAATAGTCCTGGATCCACACCAAAAACTACACTGGTGTTGCTTTGCCAAAGAACTAACCAATCAGAACATGTCTGCAGATATAGGTATCCTTAAGAGAAAAAAAACTAAAATGAGAAACCTACACTCCTTGTCCCTTCACTAAAGCAAGGTGCCAGAGGTCACACACACTTGTATACATATTAGGACCACTCTAAGGCTGTCCTAGACACCTTTAGGGTGACACAGGTCATGACCTTTCACCTGTCCCCTCCAGCCAGTATTTACGCTCCAAGCACACAAAAGCACAGCACTACCCCTCAGGAACTGCATGTGCACATAACAAAGGTCACCCAAAGTTGGCGGCTTTAGAGAGGTGCTGTTCCAAATATTAGTAGAGAAGATTTACTGGCAGGAACTAACAGACAATAACTGTTAACACTGTTTAAAATAACAAGCTGCTGAAAGCGTTTATGAGTGGCAGGAATTCTTACTACCGGCACTATTGGCCTTTTTTACGTTTACGATTAAAATGTAAGGATGGTAAAGGTCAAAATCCCTAAGGATAATTTCCTCTACCGTCTTCAGAATTTGTGTATGCCCCGGGGCGACAGACTAATGAAACATCTCTTCGATGATATGCAAATTGTGCTGACCTTTATAGGGCCTCACACTGCTCATTATATTATCATCGCTATCTCTGCCACTCATTGTAGTAAAAAAATACAGATCATTGTACTCTACAGATATACAGGCATATACCGTATAGTTGAATATAAATCACTGTAAGAAGTAAATTAATGTCATAACAAGAACACAGTTTACAAGTTTAGTTACAAGAACAAAAGAAACTGCAGAAATTCAACTGTATCCTCTGTGTGATGACCCCACGGTCATCTCTTAGCAAATTAACATTTAACAGCAAAATAGCATATTTTGAATCAGGAACTTGGGCAAATAATCACATGACTGTCCTTTGTTTTGATTTTCTCGAGCATCGCTAATGTTTTATTAATGATTGCATGATAAATGAAAGAAGCGCTATTTTGAACTTTGGATGCACTCTGTGTTCAGTCCCCAATAAGAACATGCCTTGCATTTCTTTTTATGTCTTTTGTGAGCTTTCAAGTCCAAACCATAGCTTTTCACAGTGCAGTTTTCTTATGATTGAGGTAGCATCAAGGGGAATGATAATCATTGAGGGTGGATGGTCCACCCCTGCATGCTGGGGAGAATAAGCACACAACAGAAGCTGCAATTTAGAAAAATATGAAGTCCAAACCATTGTGTTTTACAGCTCCCTCAAAACACAGAAAGCAATAAAGGTTATCTTTCTAAATGCATAGGTTATGAAAGCTTTCATTTTGTCTGTTTCTTATTACAGTTAATTGAGTACATGTTTTCATCTTCAGGCATCGATTCTTTCATCATAGATCAACCTGTTCCTTTTCTGTCAGTCTTATTGAATAGATTTTTAAATGTTTTTCTCCATTTCTAGCCAAGAAATACATGTCTGAGATAGCTTTTGGTTTGGGATGTAACTTGCGTATATTTACATCAGGAAGTAGCATACGCTTGAATAATTAACTTTGGTTTTAATGAGAAACTCGAGAAATATGATTGTGGGGAGAGTATTCTATGATACAGTACATGCTTCAAAAACATCTCTGCTTCATTCTGCATGCAGGTAAACAACTAACAATATCCTGTCTCAGTCAGGTAAAAGAACAAAAGAAGGGCACTCATTACTTTCTCAAAGTAATCATTGGTAGTGCATCTCTTCTTCAGCTGCATTGAAGATATAAAGTAAAAGGAGCAGGCCACAAAAAAACCTGACAATTCAAGCCGCCCATCTGTCTCTGTGTTGCGATGAGATAATGACGGATCCCAAGCCAGGACCGACTCATGAATCCTGGAGGTATCTATTCTTGCCCAACCCAGCCTGAGTGAACACTGATCAGAGGAGCCTACTACCGCTTCACTGGTCAATGTGCACAGTTCAGGTGTCACCAGTTTGGAGTCTACAGCGAGCCCACCTGCTGCGAAGCGTCAGAATGACTGCTGTGATCAGGGCCGTCCAATCCAGGCATTGTGCGAGAGATAGAGTTAAGAGAAAATCATACTCTTGCCTCTCCTAGCTACTCTTTGAAGACTGCTGATTTTTCAAGCTCAATTGAGCTTGACCATTTTATCTTACCACGTATGTGCAGTGGCCTTTCCTTCTCTCTGTACTTGCATATCAAAGCCCACTTTTTTATTTTCATCAAAGAACAGAATGGTAATTCTCTTAAATGCCCAAACTCATGCATTACTCAATCTGTGGTCTTTTGAAGAGCTTGTTTGTAGTCCTGATGCGCTATTTGCATTTTTCTCTTCCTCCGTTGTTAACAAACAGCAACTTTTCTAAGTGTGTCTTTTGTTATTCATGCAATCCTCGTGTTTCATTTATCTAATAATGTACTTTTTGCCACATGAATGAAGCCTTCAGGATTGCCTTGGTGTGTGCAGGCATTTTCTTTCCTTTTACTGCCAGATCCCTGCTGATTGTTGTGTGCCCAGTTAGCAATGACAATGGAGAGGCTGTGTGACATTTCACCGGCCTCAGTGCTCCCGCTCAACAGAGACCATGACAGTTTCTCAGCTATAGTGTCCGTAGCGACCATCAAACAGCTCGCCTGCTGAAGGTCAGACAACGCAAGTCAGCCTCCAACAGCGGCTGAGAGCAGGCTGACATGAGGGATAATTGGCTTTATTCCCACTATAGATATTCGAATCATTATTAATGACAAACTGCAACCAGAAGATGGGCAGACGAACTGGGACATGACATTTTCCTTGTTTTAAATGGGGCAAAGATTTGTAGTTTAGATGTATATTTTCTATTATTATATTCTACAATATCTCAAAACTATGAACATTCACTGCCACATAAATATATCAGGATTCACAGATTGTTAATCCATTTAAGAAATGTATTTATGTAAATAATGAAAAATATGTATTGATGGTTGCTGGTATCAAAACCTTAGCAAGGTGAAACGTTCTCTGATATGCATGATTATGATAATAATCAATTTCTTCCATGTCCTTCCTAAGGTATTGGCACAAAGGATGGCACTGCAGAGAAGGATAAAGACTTCAGAGGGAAATCTCAGAAACAGGTGCAGTTTAACCCGGGCCAGACCACAGCCACCTGGAAGGTGCGGATCCTGTCAGATAGCGAGCATGAAGTGTCTGAGAGCTTCCAGATCGTTCTGTCTGAGCCGGTGATGGCAGCCATTGAATTCCCGCTGTTTGCTACTGTGGAGATCCTGGACCCCGATGATGGTCAGTAAAGATAAATGTTTATATTTCATTGTATTGCTTAAAATAGGGATAGCGCTATATTTAAAATTAAATACGTAAAAAAAAGTATTGGTCATGCTTTTCTTGGTTTTGTTGTTTAACAAGTCTCAGGTCTTAAATGGATGTTGGAGTTTGACAGCAGAACATTTTCCAGTTATATACAGTTTTAGTTTACATTGTATTGTTACGTTTTTACATGTTCCAAACCATTAACATTGTGTTTCACAGGGACAACGATGTCCTAATTTAATAAGGGGTGCTAAATCAATTAACATGAAAACGGAATGCTTAAAGAAACTAACCACATCCTGGACTCAACTTGATTATGGACATAGTTAAACACAGTAAGGGGCTGGATTTTCTTTCAAAGTGTAGATACAAGGTCAAAATTATATCTGGAGAGCACACGACCTCCCTGCATCTGAAATGAGCTCTACAAGAGCAGATGAACAGTGTGTCTGAGAACAGCTTGACTGTGATAGAGCTGAGAGAGAACTGCATATTTTAAATATGGATAATACTCCCCCTTATCCCACAAGGCTTCATTTGTCCACATTTTATGCTAATTCAGATGTTTAGTTGGAACATTGTTTTACAGAACATCGGTCTCAGGTGGGCTTTCAATTGGCAGATATCTCTGCATGATGTGGTCTTCTTTTTCTTTTTTCCTGTGATTGTCTTTCCTTTTGTTCCTTTTCGTTTAGGGTATCTAAAGTTTTGGTGTGTTTTGGCACGGTGAAGGTCAAATACACTCTGAACTGATACAAATATATTTTTGTTTCTATTTTACTCCGAGCAGATAAATACAAAAATTCCCGGAGGCTGCAACCATGACACTATAAATAAATAATTTCACACCAGACAGACTAGAGTGGCTCAGACTGAACTCAGCTTAGTGGTAAAAACAAAAAGAGGTGAAGAGTTGCCACCTCATTCTAAGTATGCATGGTATTCAGGATGGGAAAGGACAGGTCAAGCTCTGTTGACTCTCCAACACTTTTAATGTGGCTGACCATGATATATATGAGAGAGAGAGAGAGAGAGAGAGAAAGAGAGAGAGAGAGAGAGAGAGAGAGAGAAAGCCTCCGTCTGAGCTTCGAGCTTTCATATGCAGCTCAGGGTAGAAAAGAGACAAAGGAATGGAGGGCTGCCAGGAAAACTGTGGAAAAACAACCAAATTGTTTAACACGTCTCTGCTTGCAGACATAATTAGTGTTACACTCGTTTTTATTCTAGCCAGTTTATGTGGGAAACTTATAATGATAGTGTGAGGTTTATATTTGTACACATTGTTTTTAATTCTCTTAGGGATTCCTTACTCTTTTAACTCAACAGCAGACGTCTACAAATAACATTTTCTGCATCTGTGTCTGAGTTATTCTGTGTGTGACTGAAGCGCACTCTAGTTTGAATAGTTGCTGAAGATAAACAAGCAGTAGATTGCTGGGTTTGATTAAACATGATGGAGGCAGCATCAGCAGAGCTCTAATGAGAGCTGTCGTTGGTCCTGGTGTATAAGCTGCAAGCCTGTGTATTAAAAGTGTTTCATGTAAATCATGTCACAAATGATTAGATGTTTTGAAGCTTTTCCTTTTTCTTCTCCTCTCATTCAGTTGAGTTTACATGACATAAGATAGGGATTTATCACTACCAAAAGTCAAATACAATGTGACAAAACGTTTTTAAAAACACTAATAATACATATTAACGCCTCTATGTCGTCGTAATGTGCATTGATTTTCTCATCTACAGAGTCAACAGTGTTCATCCCCTCAGCTGAATACAACATAGAGGAGGACATTGGAGAGCTGCTGATCCCAGTGCACAGGAGTGGAGATGTCAGTCAGGAGCTCATGGTCATCTGCTGCACACAGCAAGGTAACAAGCACTGTGGGGGGTAAAATAAGCTTATTTCAGGACAGGATATGTAAAGAGGATGCAGAAAAACTCCAGTCAGATCTCAGAGAAATGCAAAGATGGTCCGAGTGTTGGCAGCTCAAATTCAATGCAGCAAAGTGCAAAGTAATGCACTTAGGTTTTCTGAATCAAAATATGAGTATAATATGGGTGATAATTCAAACACTATAAACCTATCCGAGACTCAGAATGAAAAGGACCTTGGTGTGAATGTTGATAATACCCTGACATTTAGTGACCATATCCGCCGGGCAAGTAACAAAGCGAATGGTATCCTAGTAATGATCCGCAGATCATACACTTATTTCGACTCAGACGTAGTACGTAGTTTATACATCTCTCTTGTACGGCCACTCCTGGAGTATGCACTCTAAAAACGAATTCAGGCGCCCTTTCACCTCCACTTAATTAAATGCATGGTTGTAAGATAAAAATGTCAGTTAATTGATTTAGATAAACATTTTAAGTTGCAAACATTAATTTATAAGTTGTGTTGACGTAATAATGTTGGTAATTACATCAACTTAATATTGTGTGTAATTTGAACTCTGATTTCTGCGTTAATTTACTTAAAACAAAATTCAAGTTGTAGCAAGTAATGCAATTGGCTTGATA